GCACTTATATTCTGATAGAGGAAGCTGATAATCCAGGAGTGGCGAGTGCAAAGGGAAAAAAAAGTAGGACAAGGTAATAGAGATTGGAGTGACCAGGGAGCCGGAGGGGTGGGCTGGAATCCCTCATAGAATCAACTGAGCAAATGTGGGAAGGAAATTAGCTAAAAAAACATCTGAGCGAAGAGTGTTCTAGGTAGGGAGAACAGCTAGCGGAAGGCTTAAGCAAGTAGTAGGGGTGAACTCAGGAGATCATGTAGGTTTTTATTTTTTAAAGATTTATTTTTATTTTTATACAAGAACTGGGGTACAGGCCAGGGGTACAGGAGGGTGAGAGGATTCACCAGAGACAGAGCAGGAAGCAGAACAGGCAGACGGACTGAAATACACTGCTGAGGGGAGCAGCGGGTGAGACAGGAGAGGTCTGCGGTGCCATTTGGGTATCCCTCTGGATGGCCGGGAATCAAACCCGCGCTGCAGAGGCTGCGGACAGCTTCACAGCGCTGTGCTCAACCCGCTGTGCCACCAGGGAGGCCCAGGACTGTAGGTTTTTTAAATTTAGCTCTGACCGAGTAAAATAGGCAGCCACCACAGGATTTTGACCAGTGTAGTATTATGAGCTGACTAATGTTTTGTGGTGTTGTGTTAACAAGACTTTGGAGCCAAAAGGATAGAAGCAGGGAGAGCTGTTACGAAAGCTGTAGAAATGTGAACCATTTAAATATATTTTGTGTACTTTTGAGAGCTGCTGTGATCTAAGCATTGTGAGGCAACTAGACATCTTTGCAGACTACTGGGTTCTCAGTAAATTTTAGTGATGTGACTATTTTAGTTTATGTTTTTAATAACGTATGTAGAAGAATACAAGTCAGTACCTTTACTCTTATGTAAAAATGAAGTCCAAAGACTCACAGCTTCACAAACTTGAGTCCATATAGGAAATAAAGACAGGACTTGTATTTTTAAATTCTCAGAAGACCTTGAGAATTCAATGATGAAGATGGTTGCTTTCTACTAGAGTGAAATAAGAACACTGCAGTTTCAACTCAAGTTCAAATGTATTTATATAGTTGAGGAATGTGCTCAAGTGAAACATAATCCCATACAGTCTACAGTGACATGTGATACACATTTTAAGTAAAATGTGTAAACCAGAACCAATAAAACACCTCTAAGATCCGTATTATATAGTAAGATGAAAACTTAGAGATCTCTTGGGGCAACTACTTTGAAAAGTAGCCCACTTACAATTCTGTGTGGTATATATTCTATCTATATTATATCAATACTGTGACAATTTTTATTTTTATTTCTAAAAGGTGTATGACAAGGATGGAAGGTGATTTTGAGATAATTTGTACACCTAAGGATTCCCTTGAATAGGAGAAAAACATGTAGTTGTAACAATGTAAAAATGGAACACAGTAACATTAACTTCTACTTTAATTGTGTAGGAAGTCAGATGTCCCAGTGATAACACACACACACACACACACACACACACACACACACACACACACACACACTGTATTTCACATCCTGGCACTGCCTGCCAGCAGGCGAGAGGCAGGGGGTAGGTCGAGGTATACATAGCCACAGATACCCAGTGTGCTAACTATGTGGCTGGTGGAAAATGGTGCAGGACCTACGATGTGACCATAATGGCCCAGTTTGAATAATCACTATTAAGTTCACATTTAAAATATTAAAAATAACCAAGCTATTTTAACCTCAGAGTTTTCGCTTCAGAGTGGCTTATGTATTCTGGCTCCTGTTTCTGCTTGGGTTGATAGTTGGCTGGGGAGTGGGAGTTGTGTTACTTCAAATTTGGCTCAGAGATAGTTGATTAAGGTAGAGTGTTCCACCCATCCTTTTGGATTATATTTAGTTCTGAGCTCGTGCGTACACTCTCTCTCTCTCTCATTTTCCAGAAGGAGCTTTAGTGGTACTTAAGGTATCCTAGGCTAAAGTCACAGAATTGGATTTGCTGGTATTGTCACTACCTCTGAAAGAAAAGTGTGGACATTACTATTACTAGAAAGTTCAATGTTTCAATTTTAGGGAAAAAAAATCCAGTCTCTCTAGAAATGTTCTTTTTGCTTGTTTTCCACTTCCCACTTTCTCTCCCATTATTTCTTTTGCAATGCAATATAGTTTTCAACCTTGGTCACACATTGTCACGTGGGGGAACTTTCAAAATATACCTATGGCCAGGGTCCTAATCCTAGAGATGGAATCATTTATTTGGGATTGGGCCAAGGTGGCATTTTAAAAAAGCTATTCAGGAATTTTAATGTACAGCCAGTGTTGAAAACCACATGGTTTCAAATGGAATAGAAATATCTGGGGTCTAGTTCCAGCACCACCATTTACTGGCTGGTTGATCTCAGTCCTCAGTTTCCCATAGTTTGATGAGTTTGGATTAGACATTTATAAAAATTCTCTAACTCTAAAATACAATTAAAGAAGTTGGGGTTCATATAATCTCTAGTTTGTTCAGCTCTAAGGAGATAAAAAATAGTTATTTGGAATACAAGGGTTTAGTTTGAAAGTAGGTGAATAACAATAAAAAAATAGAAGTTTGTTTCCTTCTTCCAGATTACAAAGCATGGGAGAAAAGAAACAAATTTAAGCCTAGAAATCACAAGAGATTTTTATGGCTGCTCTGTCTGTTCCCAGCTCTCTTAAATTGGGAGCTAGTCAGATGGTACCTGGGGAACAGAGGGAGGAGGGACTTACTACATACCAAGAAGGTAAATATGATACAACCCCCAAAGGCTTTACACAACTCACCAGAACAGGCTAGCCGGGTGCAAAACAGTATGTGGGTGGTGGGGTAGGGAAGTACTGTGCATATATACACATGTATGAAAACACACACACACACGTACACACACACACACACAGAGTCTTTAATTGTGCTTGCTGAGAGATCTCCCAGAAGAGAGGGTGATCTCAGGCGACCCCCTCCCCTCCAGAGCGATCTGCCAGTGAAGAGGCCGCCCAGCTACCTCTCCAGCCAGTCCCGGCCTTACCCCCAGCCGATGGGTGGTCTGTCCCACCCAGAGCAGAAGGCTGTTGCCTCGTTCTCCAGGTTTTTTCAGTCTACCCTTTGACAGAACCCAGCCCCTGATTTGAAAACCAGACTCTCAATTCTAACCCATTTCCCATCACCTAGCTACTCTGCCTCTTCTCTCTAGACCAGGCCGCCAAAAAATTAGCCAAACGGAATGCCAGCTCTCCGTCCCCCTCAGGATGCTCTCTAGTCCTTGCACTCTCATAACATTTCCCCCCCAGCCCCTCCCAAACCCTGACTCCCGTGTCTCACCTCCCCACTTCTCCACGCGCTAGTCCGGCCTCCGGTCTCCACTTCTCCAAGCACTTTCCCCCACCAGCCTTCTGCTTTCCAGAACTTCCTCACCCCCTGCCTGTCCCCGAGCCGGGGGCCAGGTCCCCCACACCTGTGCGCCCTAGTCGCTCATCCCTCCCTCCCCTTAGTTGATCGCTAGCAGACCACCCCCTCGCCCCGGGACCCGAGGGGACGTCCACCCCGGCAGCCGACGCTCGTCAGCGCCCCAGAACTCCGCCCCGACACCTCCGGAGCCCCTGCACAAGCTCACGCTCGTGTACCTCCGGGCCTGACACCCGGGCACTCCCCCCTCCCCCAGCCCCTCCTCTCCAAAACCTTGGCGCCCCCATCTCCAGACGGCACCCCTCCCGCCCGCGCGCCCCGAGGCTCGCCGCTTCCTTCTCGCCCGACCTGACCCCCAGGGCGCCCCATTCACCCCACTCACACCCTTCCCCTCACCCCGACTCCTCGGGCGCCCCCTCACTGGCTCACATCCTCCACAACTCCGCCCTTGAAAACTCGCCACCCTCCCCCCAGCCCGGCTCGCCCTCCCCACCCCTCCCTACGTCTCCCCGCCCGGCCCCAGCCCACCGGCAGCGCTCGGGAGGGGTGGCCGCCGCCCGCCGGGCGCCCGCCGTGCCCGGGCTGGGGCGGCCGCGAGGTGACGCGGCCCCCGCGGGAGGAGCCCGGGAGGCGGCGGGGCGGAGGAGGCGCGGGCGGCAGCAGCGAGAGGCGGCGACGGCGGCGCAGGGAGCAGGCCCTCCGCGCGGACTCCGCGCACCCAAAGGGCGGCGGCGGCTGGGGGACCCCGGCGGGCGTGCGATGAGGGGCGCGCGGCGCCCGTCCCTGCTGCGCGTCGGAGCCGGCCCGCGCCCGGGCGCTGCCAGTCCGGCGGCCCTGACCCCGGGACTCCCCGCCGCTCGCCCCCGTCCTCCCTGCTCGGCTTGCGCGTCTCCGCGGTAGCTCGGAGGGGTCGCCGGCGGCCGTCGCGCGCCCCACGACCGTCTCCCTTCCTTTCCTGGAGGGGACCCCCCGCCCCGCGCCGGAGCCCTGCGACGCGCGAGCCGGCGGGACGGCCGAGCCGCCGCTCGGAGAAATCGGCTCCTGCGCCCTCGCCAGCGACTCCGCGCCCGCTCCGGCGCCCCTCGGGCTCGCGGGACGCCGCCTCCCGGCGCTCGCGGCGAGTTCCCCCGACTCCCCCGGGGGCCGGCGCGCGGCCACCCCTCGCCCCTCCGGGGCGGCGCGCGCACCCCCGGCCCCCGCCGCGGCCGGACACACTCGCGCCTCGGCCCGCGCGCCGCCCTCCCGCCCGCTCCCTCCAGTCACCCCACCCTCAGCCGTGCCCGCCGCTTACTCCAGCGCCCGCCCCGCCGCGCCGCGCGCCGCGTCCGGCCGGGCCTCGCGCGCCTTTCTCCGACCCCGCGCGCGAGCCAGCCTGCGCCCCGGGAGGGAGACGCCGATCCGGGAGCGCACCCCTCGGGCTCCCCGCCGCCCGCGCCCTCCCCTCCCCCCTCCTGCTTTCCTGGGGGAGGGGGGCCGTCGCCGCGGATTGAAGGCCATTGATTTGTATGCATTTGTCCCAGCGCCGGAGGCTGCCCCAGCCGCCCGTGGAGCCGCCTCCCTGCTCGCCTGAGGTGCTTCGGCTCCGCCAAACATGTCGGCTCCTGTCGGGCCGCGGGGCCGCCCGGCTCCCACCCCGGCGGCGTCTCAGCCGCCGCTGCAGCCCGAGATGCCCGACCTCAGCCACCTCACGGAGGAGGAGAGGAAGATCATCCTGGCCGTCATGGACCGGCAGAAGAAAGAAGAGGAGAAGGAGCAGTCGGTGCTCAAGTAAGGACCCGGCTCCATCTTCCCGCCTCCCTCCCTCCTGCCTGCCCTCCGCCCCCTCGGCCGCTCCTCTGCGGCCGCCCGCGCGCCCGGGACCGCCGCCCGCCGCCCGCCCGCCGCTCTCCCGCCGGCGGCGCCCGGGCCACGAGGGCTGCGGCGGGCGCCCGCCGCCGGCGCCGCTCTCCGGGTGTCCGAGCGCGGGGGTGTGTGTCCGGACGCGGGGCGCCCAGGCCGGGGGGCGAGGGCGGCGAGCCCCGGGGCGAGGCCGTCGCCCCGGCCGCCCTTCCGGCTTCCTCCGCGGGCCGCTTCGGCGCCGGGCCGCGGCGGGGCTGGGGGGGCTGCACCGGGCTGCACCGGGCTCCGCGCGCCCCTTCTCCTTCCGCGTCGCCCCCGCGCGGAGGCCGTGGCTGGGGCAGGGAATCCAATATGGCCGTGCACAGGTGCTCCCCGGCCGGGACCCGGGGAGGGCGCGCCGGCCGCGCGCTGGGGGCGCCCCTGGGCGCCCCTCGTCCCGCGCCTCCGCAGGGCGCGTCCGCTCCCAGCGCGGAGAAGACCAGGGCTGGCCGCGGTCGCCACGGGCGGGGGCGCGGCGCTTCGGGCGAGGGGCCTAAGCCCTAGCGCGTCGGGTGGGTGTGCGGCCGCCGCCATCTTCCAGCCCCTCCCCCTCGGCGGGCGCTGACACCCTGCACTCGGCTGCTCTTCCTGTTTGCCGCTGGTAAATCTGTCTAATCCTGAGGAGACTCTGAAGAGACTCCCGTTCCTGCCATGACTGCAGTTTGGGACGCTTCCTACCTGGCGAAGTTGCACTGTGCGCGTTCCCAGTCGAGGCGGCCCGGGGTGGCCCAGGGAGGGTGGCAGCGGCCCCCAGGCGAGGGGTTCGCGGCCCGGCAACTTCAGCACCAGGGAACTGTCCAGGCGGGCTCTCTGGCGCGCTGAAACTCCCTGTCAGTGTGGTGGTTTATTTGTATAAGTTTGCTTTTAAATGCTTTCCAGTTATTTGACTTCTCGGTTACTCTGTGAAAGAGATTTTGCACAAGACGAATAGCCTTTTATGCTTTTCCAACTTTTTTCTCTTCGCTGGAATCAGTCACTAGGAGGGTACTGCACCCTCTTGCGTGCTAGCAAATACACTTTCCCATGTTCTCCACAGAAACACACATTTGTAAGCATAGCATTTGTGGATGAAGGAACTAACATGCTGATCTCTAATTGTGTGAAATTTAAAAGCAGGTTGTTGAGTCAGTGTTCTTTAATGCACCTATATAAAGACACAATACTGTCCCTACATGTGTGTTCACATTTTAATGAAAAATATTACTTTAAATAATTTGTGATAACAAACATCACATATCTAGAGATGTTCGAGAAAAGAACTGTTTCCCCCCAAATACTGAAAGAGTAAGCAAATGAATTCCTGGCGTATTAACTGAAATTAAGAAGAATTGCTTCTTCAAAGCAATTTGTGGGTTTCAATACTTGTTTGGCAATGCGATTTATTAGTAGGCTTCGGAAATGAAAAAAAAAAGTAAGAGATTTAAGTAGCTCATTTCAACTAATGAAGTAACAAAGCATTTACTTTTTATTGACGTATACTTGACGTGATACTAGTTTCAGGTGTACAATATAATGACTTAGTATTTAAATATATTGCAAAATGATCCTGACAATACATCTAGTTAACATCTGTCATCATACATAGTTACATTTTTCTCTTGTGATGAGAACTTTTAGGATCTACTTTAATGACTTTCAAATATGCAATGCAGTATTATTAGCTATAGTTATCATGTTGTGCATTATATTCCTGTGACGACTTATTTTATAAGTGGAAGTTGGGACTCTTTGACCCCCTTCACCTGTTTTATTCTCTCCTCCACCCCCACCTCTGCCAGCCACCACTCTGTTCTCTGTGTCTGTGAGCTTTGGATTGTTTGTTTTTTTTTAGATTCCACAGATAAGTGAAATCATAAGGTATTTATCCTTCTCCCTGGCTTGTTTATTTAGCAGAATGTGCTCAGGTTTCACTGATGTCCAAAATAGCCAGATTTCATTCTTAGTAAAGACTTTTTAGTAATGCATTATTTTAAAAAGCTTTCTGAGCATACTCCTAACTTTGCTTAACTTTTCACTATATATACTAGCAATGCCTTGCTTTTGATGGCTTACATTATTTAGATACATGGTTTTATACTTTTTATTATAATTCTGTAAAATCACTATTGCCAAATGACGTTCAAATAAAATAGTTTTGTTTCTTTGACATATTTAAATGTAGGATATATTTTTATTTCTTTATAGCATGACAAATAATAGTATATATGACTAATTCACTAGAGTGCTAGTGTTCTATTATATAAAAATTCAAATGAATTTTTGAGTACCGGATGAAGGATTATTTAAAATGAGTAGTACATTATGTTAGCAAAATGTGAAAGGGGTTTCCTGGTAGCTTCATGTATATGTATTGTCTCTGTAAATACATACAATGTTTGTGCATTCATATTTGCATAGTTTAGATAGAAATAGGCATTCTCTAAGCATACATTCATATAGTCTATGAAATTACATTGATGAAAAACCTATTTATATATATTTTTAAATATCTACTTGCATTTCTACCTTAGTTTTGGAAGGGGTCATACCTCAAAATAATTTCAAAATTATTTTTATGTTCATTTCAATAAGAAGTTATTTGGAGGTTGAAGCTTCATGTGTTTGAAATATAAATTTAAATATTTTTTTAAAAAATGCTTTAGCTTTTGAAATAAAATAAGAGTTGGCAAGGAAAGTAATAGACTTTATACTAGAATTATAATAATGAGAGATGAATTGTTTTTGAAGAATTTGACAATTTATTAAGTAATTTATCAATATTGGGTATTAAGTTACAACTGTAATATATAAGACAACATTAATATTCTTCAATGACTACTATTTTCATTAACTTTTAGGGGCCATTTGTTTGGCCCTCACTATGTTATCCTTTGTTTCTATTTAGTGATATCCATTTAATTGCCTGTTAATATCTATTCTGAGAGGTCAGGGCAAAGAGAAATAAGTTGAAATTCAAATTCATGCCTGCTGCCTTTCAACAGACATTTAAAAAATAAGTTTGATATGTGAAAAAATTGAAACTATTGGATGAAAATATCTTTGTATGATTTGTGACTTGCATATTCATATTAAGTATTCATAAAAAGCAGGGCATGCATACCCAAGGGCATCACAAGATGATATATTGGAGTACAGGGAGAAGATATTAAAATACATATTTACATTTCTATTTTTATTTAACAAAGAAAGAAATTAAAGTTTACTAATATTTACTATATAGATTGAAATATTGTGGTACATATAATTTACAAATAAATATCATATATTATGAGGTACAAGCCTGAGCTATTTTTAATGAGAGATTAGTGATCAGGACAGTTTGAGACCACTATGGCAATCTCTCTGCTTAGGAGCCTGAATAAGTTATTAGTAATAGTTATTAGTAATTTCTTCAGAGCCTGGCTGAACATTTACATATTCAGAAAGTCTTCTGTCACCATCAAGTAACAGCATTTTACATGTGAGGGAAGTAGTAGGAATTTGGAAGTATTTTTATATTTCAATATATATGGTCAGTAATTACTTTTTAAAAAATCATTACATGAATTTTTTTTTTAACAGATTTGGTTTAGCTAAATCAGTCTACCAGTAAAATATATGATGTCTTTTTACTGATTTTTTTAAGCCTACTTGTAAGACTTTAAGCTTCTTGAGGGTAAGAATAAAAATGTACCCTTCTTTGGAATTTGTTTTGTAACATCCTTAGTGTCTGCACATAGTAGGTACTTAACAAATAATGTAGGTTTGGCTTGTGGAAATGTTAATGAGGTAGCTTCCCAGTTTTGCTGAGAAAATGGAGAATAATTTTTTTGAAGGTATAGCATAATTTATTAAAAGTTTGTTTTTTCCAGTGGGTTACTTTTTTTTGGGTGTGGTATTATGAAAAAATGTCTGAGGAAAGCAAACCCCACTGAGATCAGTAAGTATTTATTGAGTTTCTACTATGTGCCTATCACAGTTTTTCAGATGAGGTGCTTTATAGAAAATTAGAAATTATGTGTTTCTTGATGTATAAATTAATTTTTCATTCTTGGTTTAGATTTTCTATTAATGTCAAAGGGATACTTTGCCAAATAAAGGAAAACAAATAAAACTTTCCACGATAAATTGAGGTGGCAGCTTAGCTTATATTTATTGGTGAGTTGTTTTAACTTTTTGAAAAATCATTCAGTATTAAAAGTGCTTTCCAAAGTCAATTTATGAACTTTTTTATTTGATAGCTAATATACATATGTCCAAAATTTCTTAGCTACCTATTTTTCATACCTTGAGACAACTACTATTACCAGTATACCTTGTACTCTTCTAGAAATATTCTATACATAAGAGTAGACATGCATGTATATCAAATGTTGCATGAGTATATGTGTATATGTGTGTGCACATACTTGAATGGAGATATGTGTATAAATGTGAAAAATAAATATGACCTTAAAGTTTATTTTTTAGGAGATCAGCCCCACATTGATTAATGTGTAGAATGTATAGTATAGGTGCTTCATTCATTTTTGTGACTGTGTAATATCCTATGAATATGAGTATTTATGAGTATTCTATAATTTCTTTAATTAGTACCATAATTTTGGGTTGGTCAGTTCATTCTCATTATTTTGTCATTAGAAATAATACTGTGGGGCCTCCCTGGTGGCACAGGGATTGAGTCTCAGTGCTAACAAGCTATCTTCAGTTTGAGTTCCATCCCAGGACAGAGAGTTAATCCACATTGCACAGAGAGCTAACCCACATGGTGCAGCAGACCTCTCCTGTTTTTCCCACTGCTCCCTTCAGCAGTGTATTTCAGTAGATCTGCCTGTTCTTAGATTTGTTTAGAGCCTTTTGTATTTCTTCTGTTGGTAAATTTTAGTGATTTGTAGAATCTTTATATGTCA